AGATTTGACAGCAGTTTATAAGTAACGTGCACGACGTCAGGCCGTAAATCAAGCATAAATGGTAAGGCGGATACCACCAGCTATTTCCATATAATTTTCAAGGGAAGTTTTGAAGCGCGACAACTTTAAGACGTTCTTGAAAGTAATGTGCACAAGCAGCCGCTGCAGATTTGCGGTCAACTTGCTAAACACCTTACGAGATGTACGAAACGCCATATAAATATATCACCAAAGAGTATGATTCCGCGGTCTAACTATGGGTTTGATTAAACGTTTCTTTCATCATACAAAAAGTGATAATCATATGATTGTTCTCAGAAAAAGAAAGAACCGGAAAGTACGCGTCATTTTGGGACTAAACCCCTTCTCGACAGAAGAAGACAAGCGTTGTCGCAATGCAACTACATTGTTATTGTCGGGAGTTTGGGCACCATTGGCGCTTTATGCCGATGGTACCCAAACTCCAGACAATAGTAAGTGTTAACGCGAATGATGCAGTGAGAGAGCAACTACATGACGCCCGCGCAGGATATGAAAAGAGTTCTTCTAAGAGGTGATGATCGCACGCCAGTTACTAGAGCCCGGCAATCCATCATCCTCACTATTGGGTATCAAGAAGAAAATTGTGTTTACCCGAAACAACACCAACTTCAAAGACAATAAAGCGCTAACCCTCCTTAACGGTAGAACGAGTTGCTGAACTTGCGATTATGCCATGAGCAAAGTCATCTCTGGGCAGCTGGCACAGCTGTTATTAAGCAAGACACCGCAAGCTCTTTCATACTTCTTCCTTGACTTCGGGTTTTTAGCCTGTGTTAAAGTGTGAAGAGGCAGCTAACCATACCATTAGGTTCATATTTTCTTCACCGCCTGTTTTCTCCTCAGGATTCGTCTAGTCAGGTTTGCACACTTAGCTGTTTTCTGCTCTGTTGTTCGCATTATCTCAGCAATAAACGTCTTTAACTGGTGGTGAACTGACCGGTTCTCTAGATTCAACAGATAAGCCAAGTAAGTATGTCGAAACGTGGTTTCAAAAAATGTGCTCCATGACGAAGTTCTTCGCATTTTATATTAAACCGACAACATGGAACCTATCGCACTGCCC